AGGTGTTTTGGTTAGGATACATTTTATTTAACTACAAGTTTTAAAAGATGCTTATGTTTGAATACGTTTTAACTACAATTTTAAATTTTAAATACAAGTTTAAAACATTTTCCCTGCCATTCCAATAGACTTTTTTTTTTTTTATTTATATTATTTAAGGAAAATTTTTTTGACAATGACGGCATATAATAGCTATTTCATTTCTCTGATTCAGTAAATTTTTATTTTTTATAAACTTAGTAATATATAGTTTCTCTTGTATGCATAGAGGACATGGGTCGTTTAATGATCTACAAATTCTAGCTTTTCTTATTAACTTCCATTTTACTGTAGGTGTTTTATTTGATTCTTTTAGATGCCAGAAATATTTTGAGAGAGATGTTTGATTTTATATCTATTTATTCTAAATGAAGTTTGATGTTGGTTGAATCTTTTTTTTTGAATTCATGGCTAGTGCAACCTATATATATTTTTATGTTATCAGGACTTTCAATCGAAGAGATATTGCATTGGTATACTAATGATTCAGTACGACATTTATTTTGTAGTGAGCAATTTTGAGGGTTTCTACAGTTACATAGTTTTTGTTTATTTCCATCAGTTTTTATCTTAATTTTTCCATTGTCTAAACTTTTTTTGGTTTTGGTATAAGTGTTTATTTAAGATATTAGCATTATGGTTCTTAATGATTTTTTCTAAGTTTTTTGTACAGCTATAACTTAATTTTAGTGTGTTTTTATTGAAAATAGTACTTAGTTTACTTTCACTAGGAAAATGCTTGACTATTAATGCGAGGAATTTATGTCCTAATCTGTTCTTTACCATTTGGTTATATGGGGGAGTATACCAAATAATTTTTCTACATCTGTTTTTTCTATGCTTTCCATTTTCATTTTTTATATAAGTTAGTTTTGGGTTTTTGTAGCCACTATCTTTTAGAGCCTTATTATAGCAATTGATATGCTCATCAAAAATCTTGTTATTTGCTGAATTTGTACTAATTCGTTTACTGATAGATAACGGTATATGTTTAATTATAGATGGGGGGTGATTTGATTTAGGATGTATATATAAAGGATTGGTGTTGGGTTTTTTATAAGGTGTGTATGTATTTTATTTAGATCTAAAGTTATATCTAGGAAGTCTACTTTTTTAATTTTGTACTAACCGTAATTTTTAAGCCCATGCTTTTAAATTCTTTATATAATAACTTTCTAATTCTATCTATTTTGAAGTTCGTTGAGTTTCTAATAACCATAAGCCCATCGTCTCTGTACAAACCAATATCATTTGTATTAATTTCATAGTGTGCTGTAAGGTTGTATAATATAAAGAGGCCAATGAGATCAGAAGACTCAGCTGAGTTTAGTGATATAGTAAAATAAAAATTAAAAAGGAGAATATTTCAAATCGTAGTTAAATAAAAAGTATTAGGAAAAAAAAAAAACGAAAATCTTTAAATTTAAAAAATTAAAAAATGACGTTGAAATTTTTTTACCGTTAACAATTTAAAAAAAAAAAAAAAAAATTCAGACGACATCCATTCAACTAATGTCAGGTTTCATTGTAAAATACATCCCTAGCCCTTACCAAATTGTAGTTAATAACTGATACAATGATACTGACATAAGGAAAATCTAGACATCCCTTGTTCAATTTAAGTAGAATATTCTGTAACCATGGAAACGTGATTTTAGCTGTGTCTTTAAAACCTGGTAATTTTTAAAAGTTACTCCAAAATTCGCTTGAAGATGAAATGGAACTAATGCTTTTAATTTAATTGCAAAATTAAATTGGGGGTTTTTAGCTTCTATTTTTGAAACATGGTTGGAACTGTGTAGCGAAAAAAACCATATTTTAAATCAATTAATTTATAATATTAATGCTCTGTAAATTTACATTGAGCACTATTTTGTAAAAATAAAAATATCTATAAGAACACCGGATTTTATATCTTACTGTTCTTTCTTTTTATTTATATACATATATATATATATATATACATATATATATATATATATATATATATATATATATATATACAAGAACCAATATTATTTATGAATTCACATGTCCCCAAACCAAATTTATGAATAATTAAATTGGACATACCACTACATGCCTATCAAGAAGACTCACATTAAATCTTTCTGACCATAGCTCAATAAAGACTCTTTAAACACCCCTGGAAACCTACCAAACTCTGTCTGAAACATACTCGTAGAAAATACAATTTTAATAGCTTCATCAAAATGTAAAAAAGGCTAAAAATAATGGAAGCATTATTAATAAAAAAAAGTGAAAACCAACATATATATCATCCACTACGAACATCACTCTAGATACACATACATAAAAATCTATATATTCAGTTAAAAATAAAAATAAAAAACATCCTTGATAATGACTAATAGAATATCTAAAAGTACTATATAGAACATTTCAACTGTTTTGACACACTTTATGTTCAGAAAACACATATGAACACAAGAAAAATTGAATAAAAAGCTTCATTGCATTATCTTTTCAGCCATCTTTAATGAAATTTGTATAAAAGTGTCATTGCTGCCCAAATACACAATATATATATATACATATATATATATATATATATAAAAAGCCAATAGGAAAACTATATTTAGCCTTGATAAAGTCTGTCGAATGACGGAACGCATCAGCTAAACTAAGTATAGTTTTCCTATTGTTTTTTCATTCATTTTGTCTTTTCTACAGATGTACTCCATCTGAGAATATTTACACACACACATACATACATATATATATATATATATATATATATATATATGAGTTAAGGATCTAGTTACAGCTAAATATAGTTTCTAGCTCAATTCATCATTTTTGTTTGCTATTATTGTTCAAATAATTATCATTATCGACATATTCTCATAAGTGTATATGGGGAGAAATGTGTTTTTATTATACAAAAAGAAAATAGAGAGGATGAAAGAAAAAAATATTCTCTTTCTTCTGTCTATCAATACGAATATTGCCTGTCCACTCCCCCTGTGCTTCCTATACCCTCAAGAGATGGTTATTCACCTTCCAAAACAGAAGATTTATTGATTGTGAGCTTTCGGCTTTTTTGTCTTTTCTCAAATATTTATTCCAAAGTCTTACATCATTTAATGAGCAGTCATTAAAAATAGTAAAAAATAGAAATTTATTTTAATTGTTTTGTACAAAGATCTGAGGAACGGAAAAATTGAAAATTAAGCAAATTGAATTTTTTCTCATCAGAAAATAAATGGGATGTGTGGATGATGCAATTGACAAAACACAAGAGCCGGGTTCAAATTCCAGTCAAAGTTGTTATATTCACTTATGCAAGGTAAAGGTATCATTTCATCATTTCATCTCCCTTAGGTAAGGATTAAATAGTGAGGCAACTGGGATCTTTACTCTTGGTTGGCAACCAGTCTAGGAGAAGGAATGGAGGCTGGTTCAGCACAAGCCTTCAACACTATAATCAAGTCATATGTGTGTATTGTTTGGTTGTTCAGGTCTCAGAACTGAGTTGCTTGACCCTCATTATCATCATCATCCCTCAACCTCCATATGGTTGGTTGGAACTCCATTGACAATCCCTTTCCACACTGTTCGGTCCTGTATTACTGTCACCAAATCCCCAATATCCAACCCTAAATCCCGAGCTAAGGTGTATGGGAAAGTCAATTTTCATGAGAAGACACTTCCAGAAGAACATCATAGGTGCACGGATGTGATGATTTTCCTGTCCACCCAGCAGCAATGTCTGGCAAAATGTAATCACCTCTGCTTGAGCTTAAGAGAGATTAGTCCCAGTTCTCTGCAAATTGCATCAAGTGACACATGGAATCTCCAACCTATGTTCAGGACCCATCTAAGTAGATCTCTACGCACTCCATCAAGTTGTCTGTCAAGCATTTGTTCCATACAGCAGAACCAGCTCAATCAATTTTTGAAAGGTTTGGATTTTTAAGAAGGGTGGAAAGTTCAAGCATCAAATCTTACAAAGCTTGTTACATGCATACCATGCAAGGGCTTTGCAGATATTAAACTCAGCCTGGGAATCCATCACATAGGTTCCAAGATACTTGAAGTCCTCAACTCCCCCAATGAATGCATCACCGAACAACCCTCATATATCAAAAACAACAGAGGTGTAATTTATATATATATAGATATATATATATAATGAGGATCTGACAGCTTAGTTGATTCAGTTATGAAATTTTGTGTGATAATCTTAACTGGTATTTAAGACCCGCTAGTGATTTACAAAGGAGGCCACATATGGAGCAAGTGTGAGGATTGTGAGATGAGATCACTGTTAGATTGGCTGACCTTTTAGATCTTGCTCTCGCTTCTTGAGGATGACAATCAGATTGAAAATTGCTGAGTCCACTAAAACACGTTGATCTCCATTCTACCCGCTCCAAGGCTAAGCGCTCAAGGTTGTTATGTGGTATATTGACAGCTGACAAGTTGCTTTTCAGCTTGTCTTTGTATCTTAGCCATTTGTGTCCTACATTCCTGTAGGCCTGATCAAACTGGCTGTACATTAGGATCTTGGATATCCTGTCATCAGACATTCTCAAGACATGACCAGTCCACCATAACTGAGACTGTATGAGGAAAGTCTCGATTCCTCCAATATTACACCTGTTAAACCCGAATTTTTTTATCCAGTCAAATACCCCGCTCATTCCACAAGCGATGGTGAAGTTTGCCAAAAGCACTGGTAACCTTAGCAATCCAATGCATGATTTCATCATCTAAAGTTCCACTGTAGTTGACTTTGCTACCAAGATGAAAGGTGAAAGACTTTACATAGTTCAGAGCTTTGTCTTCTACTTTCAATGGTCTCTCTGGAAATTTGTAGATTGGTGGTTTTTGTTTCTCACCACAGAATTGCTTCGGAGTAGGACAAGGTTGGTGCACTATTTCAGTTTTCTTTATGCTAAGTGTAAGACCAAAGGCTTTACATGCAGCAGAGAAACGATTCATTAGATGTTGGGCCTTATATATATATATATATATATATATATATATATATATATATATATATATATAGATAGATAGATAGATAGATAGATAATTGAATATAATATATATAGATAGATAGATAGATAGATAGATAATTGAATATAATATATATAGATAGATAGATAGATAGATAGATAATTGAATATAATATATATAGATAGATAGATAGATAGATAGATAGATAGATAATTGAATATAATATATATAGATAGATAGATAGATAGATAGATAATTGAATATAATATATATATATAGATAGATAGATAGATAGATAATTGAATATAATATATATATATAGATAGATAGATAGATAGATAATTGAATATAATATATATATATAGATAGATAGATAGATAGATAATTGAATATAATATATATATATAGAGAGATAGATAGATAGATAGATAGATAATTGAATATAATATATATAGAGAGATAGATAGATAGATAATTGAATATAATATATATATAGATAGATAGAAAGATAGATAATTGAATATAATATATATATATATATATAGATAGATAGATAATTGAATATAATATATATAGATAGATAGATAGATAATTGAATATAATATATATAGATAGATAGATAGATAATTGAATATAATATATATATAGAGAGAGATAGATAGATAGATAGATAATTGAATATAATATATATATATATATAGATAGATAGAAAGATAGATAATTGAATATAATATATATATATATAGATAGATAATTGAATATAATATATATAGATAGATAGATAGATAATTGAATATAATATATATAGATAGATAGATAGATAATTGAATATAATATATATAGATAGATAGATAATTGAATATAATATATATAGATAGATAGATAGATAGATAATTGAATATAATATATATATATAGATAGATAGATAGATAATTGAATATAATATATATATATATAGATAGATAGATAGATAGATAATTGAATATAATATATATAGATAGATAGATAGATTAGATAGACAATTGAATATAGTATATAGATAGATATAGATAACTGAATATAATATATATATATAGATAGATAGATAGATAGATAGGGAGTGTATATATATATATATATATATATATATATATATATAATGTGTATACAAGGAGATAGATAATTGAATATAATATATATCTGTTTTGCCAGGTCTACTGCTGATGTGCTAACATCCATCACTGAATATGTATATGAAGCTCTTGATAATAACAGCAAAACTTGAGCTGTGGCTCTAGATATCTCAAAGGCATTTGACAGGGTTTGGTACACTGGTCTTCTACATAAGCTCCAGGGCTACTGTATTACATACAGGATGTTTGTTTGATTTAATCCAATTATTCCTATCAAATCATGACATGAAGTTCGTTCTGAACAGGCTTACTTCCAGATCCTTTCACACAAACGTGGGTGTCCCCCAAGGCTCTATCCTGGGTCCTACACTGTTTCTGATCTTCCTGATGTCATCAGTTCCCAAGTAGGCATCTATACAGATGACACTACTATTTACTTCTGTCTCAGTAAGAAATTTAATATGGCAGCTGCTCTTGAAAAGGACTTCTAATCAGTGGCTAATTATGGCAGGAAATGACTTGTAAATTTTAATTCCTCTCATTTAACCACCATGGGGAAACTTTCCTGTTCACTATCAGCATGGCTGATGCAAGAAAGCAACACACTCCAATGACTACATCGAATCAATAGCTGTATCTACTGCAAGGAAAGTTGGGCCATTGTGTCATGCCAGAAGGTTTTTCTCATCAGAGTCCATCTTGCACATTTACAAATCTACCATTCTTCTGGGCATTGAATACTGTTGCCATTTCTCTTCTGATCCTCTTGATATTTACCACAAGGATCTTGAGAAACTCCAAAGAAGGATCTACAATGTAATCAATCCTGACTTCAGTCACCTTCTCACACATATCATATAGCTACCTTCTCTCTTTTCTACAAATATTTTCATGTCAATTGCTCTGATGGAATTTTTTTCTCTAGTGCTACAACTACATGAATTTAAATGTGCTACTGGGTTAGCAACTAGGTCTCACCATTTTACTCTTGAACTAGCTAGATGCAACTGCTACTTCTATTCTAACAGTTTCTTTTCTCTCACTTTTCACCTGTGGAATCTTTTGCTTCCTTGCCACCTACAATCTTCAAAAATTTAAATATCAATCACCATCTTCTGTCTTCCTGAACCTTGTTCATTTATTATCCTTTCCTCACTAAAGTCTTCTCATTCTCTTTCACTTTAAAACTCCAAACTCACTCCCAATTTCAAGTGGAACTATTATATACAATCCATCACTAAAGATATAGGTAAAATGATCAGCTCCCTATACCGCTCCAGTAAGTACCTGACTTCTCATGCTATCCTCTACCTTTATAAAACCCATAGCAGGCTGAAAATGGAGTACTGTTGCCATATTTGGGCAGAAGAAAAAAAAAAAAAGAAAAAACCCTTCATCCTAGTTGCATTTTTGGCTTGCTGGGTTAAATGATTAAAAAAAAAATGTTGCATTTATTATTTATTATATATTTTAAATGCATTACATGAAAAATTATTAATCATGAATGTCAACTATATTTTAAATTTGTTTCATGTCAATGTAAGTCAAAAACTTCATAAGAATTCTAAGAACTTTATAAGCTCTAAGAGGAAACTGCAATAAGCTAAAAATTTTCTCTCTGCTAATCTTATTTAATTATTTTGCCTTTTCGCATGATTGAATCACAATTGTATAAATTTGATGGCTATAAATCAAAATGCTTCAAGTGGATTAAGTAAAATGAATCTATTAAATAAATCTTATTTGTAAAACCAAAAGATTAACAAGGATTATCCAGGTTGGCTTAATCCAATTGAATGCACAAAGCAGACTATAACAAATGATATGAAAGTTACTAAATTTGATCAAAATAGAAGAAACTTTGTTTGAATCCTAAAATCTGACTCTATCTTGAGTGGCAATCTGACAAATCTTTACCAATAAAACAAAGATACAAGTATTATTTGTTCAAGCATTTCATGTAATGTACTCAGATAACTTTGTTTATTAAGTGATCGTCTTGCTTTCAATTTGGTCTGGAAATAGCCTTTGTCATCACTTTATTCTGTTCCTAATCTTTTTCTTCCAAGATATATTTCTATTTCACTGTTATATTAAACATATAAAGTTTTTAACATAAAAAGATATTGAGCAAAAATCAATTTATACAATACCACAAGTAACCAATGTTTCATAGATATCATTGAATGTCTAAAAAATATAAAAGGAACAGATTCATTAAACTGTCTTTATATGTGTCCATGAAATAAGCTTTAGAGTAAAGGGCCGTAAAAAAATGAAACATCCTAATATATAATAGTAATAATAATTTTAATTACCTAGTGGAGTCATAGATAGTCTTTAGATGTGGACATGAAATAAGCTTTAGAGTAAAGGGTTGGAAAAATGAAAATACTTTTGATACACTCTAATATATAATAATAATATTAATAATCTAGTGGATTCATAGTTTTTAGATATGTACAGGAAATAAGCATTGGAGTAAAGGTTTTAATTTCTTTAAACTTGTTCACTACTTATCACGCATTATTCTCACTTGTCACTTTACCAAACACATTTCTGACCCTTTTCTGAATGTTAATAGCAGTGCATCTTTCTTTAATTAAAAAGTCAATTTTTCTTTGTGTTTCTATAAAAACATTGAAAAACACAGAAACTTTGTTTGTCAGGCAGAATTAAGATGACTCAATTTGGTGGGATAAAAACATTATTTTTAATTAAGAGATTCATTGACAAAAATGAACAATGTTTCATCTAATCAAAATTCCAGATAATATTACTACAACTGTCACAGATGGTATATTGCCTGAAAGCAGATATTGAATGACGGAAGACAACAACAAATAAAATGAAGACTTGAGTAAAAATAAATATTACCAAGTTTATTTTTGTTAAAGAAAAATACATAAACAAAAATAATGTTAGCAGGAACTAGACAAGGCTCATGTAAGGGGGTGGGTGAGAAATAGCCTTGCTCTAAGAAGGACAGTTTTGTGGACACTAGAGAGTGAATGTCCTGCAAATGACAGTTTCATGGTCACTAGAGAGCATTGTCTTAAAAAGGACAGTTTATTGCATATTGTTGGCAAGGATGGCTGGAGCTGCAGAAACTGGAGGCCTACTGGAGATGGCTAGAGTGACAGGAGCTGGAGGCCTGGAGGCTTACTGGAGTGGCAGCAGCTGGAGATGATGATGGCTGGCTAGCTGGAGCTGCTGCTGATGGCCAGGAGCTATCTGGGGCTGTGGAACGTTGCTATTTACCCATGTCTCTCTACCAAGACAGGATGCGACACAAGGTCAGTTATTTAACGTGGGGAACCCAAGCATGTACACTTGGGATCCTTGGTCAAAATTTACCAACTCCTGCTTACACAGGATCAGGCATAAAGCTTGTCTTAGCTTGTCATGTTCATGGAACAGATACTACACTTTGATCTAAAAAATTACCCAGCCCCTGTTTGCATGGGATCAGACACAAAACTAGTCTTAGCATGTCATTACCCTGGAAAACCAGAGCTGAAACAGTTTTACAACACTGGTTAAGCTTTTACTTTTAGTTGTTTTTAAAAAATGTCTGTGTGCTGACGGGATACAACTCTACTACTAATAATACTAGTAGTGAAATTAAAGCAATTGAAATGAAGATGAATGAAATCCTAGTCAAAAATGAATAATGCTTGATAATGCTTCATGCAATAAAAAATATATTCTAATAAAAATAAAATTATCTAGAAATTTTTAAGATCTCTTTTTTTTATTAAAAGATTTCTTGCCTCATATCAAGTTTGTTGACCATGTCTGAATTTTTCCCTTTCCCTATATAAAATAGCCGACATTAAATACAACAACATAAAAAATGACATTCCATCTCGCATGAGCCATAAAAGAAAAAGTACTTTCAGCAGAAGGTTTTTTGTTACAATGGCTGCATAGACAAGAGAAGATATTTGGCTTTTTCTCTTTCTCTTTTAATGAAACGATAACATGGTCAGTCTGGCACCAAACCATCTCTTCATATTGATGTCTGCTGATGGTATTTGGGTTTACAGTGACCCAGTGCCACAATCAGGCTCTATCATAACTTGTGTTCAATGATTCACCCTGATCTACTTATACGCTAAGATAATTCCATTATGAAAACTGTATTCTGCTGCCAATCCGTCTTGAAAACTGTTGCATCATTCTCAAGATTCTATCTGCTTCCCCAGGGAATAAAATTTGGTACAAGTTTATTCAGATATGTCATCAGAAACTTGGCTTCTATACTTATTTTATAGGTTTCCAATCAAGAATAGCCAAGCAGCTATACACATCAAACCCTTTAATATTAATGAAGAAATATCCTACCTAGGGAAATGGCACCTTTGACCCCTTGAAAGTACTTCAAAAGTCTGACCTAGTATTTATAGCTCAATGGGGAAAAAACGTTTTGTAATTTTTACTATCTTCAAAAAACCACACTGTTAACATTTCATTCACACCAAGTAAACCCTAAATTAAAATATTAAGAGAGTCAGATCAGACGTGGTTGCCATATGGAGCTGCTCAATTTCTACTTTCCAGCCATGACAGATTTCAAAACCGTTTACACAGCTTCGTCTTTTCTGCCCTGTACTGTTGACATCTGTTTATTATTTTATTCTGTCAAGCTAGCTGGACATTCATGAGTCTATCACACCAATCATCACAGTCCTACACCAAGGTCAGAAGGTCATTAGAGTGGCATAACATAGCTACTCAATGTTGATGGTGACCAGCCTGTCTTGCTCCATGACTAGGTATCCAGAACAGTAGATCACTCACAAGTTCTTGTTTTGCTCACCAGTAGTGATGTAGGGATACTATTGTTACTATTATAAATAAACAAAAATAAAATATAAAATAATAATAATAATGGAAATTATAAATAAAATAAAACAATAACATAAGAACGTTGTATAA